GTGACGCACGGTCGACTTCTGACGCAATTACCTCAAATTGCATGGAAAGAGTCCTTCGAACGAGCTGCTGCATTGCGTGTGCAGGATGCGTATCCCGGAGGTCGTGTTGACGGTTTTATAATTGCTAGATCGCCATTGAACGCATGCAAATAAGCGTGTGCGATGCATCTTCGAAGAGGAGAGAAATTTGCCGCCGATGGTGGCTAGACAATGGTCCATTAGCATGGAAAGGAGTATCGATGCCAATTATGCGGTTGTTATCGGGGGAAGGGGTGGAACGATCGCGTGAAACGTTAGCGTTTTCGTCCCTTGACAGTTGAATGACAGCGTACGGGGACCCTAGTGTCAGCAGGCTCGTCATTTAATTACATTTAATTTTTACCTAAATGAAAATTTATGGCAAGGTAATTGCATTAACTCATCATAGTTTCACCTTATATTTTTCTTATTTGGCTTTAGTATCTTATGCTCTCCTGATGAGCTATCAAACGCTTTATTTATTTCTAGTTTATCGATGTCTCCAAATGCTCTAAATTCAATGAAAACACAACCAATAACTCTGATATACTTAAATAAACAAAAATAATTTTAGATATAAACATTGAAGCAGTTCATTGACTTTAAGTCTATTGTTATTGTACGACACGATTCTCAGTCATAAAGAATAATCACAAAATTGTTGTTTACAAAAATGTGTGGGAGTGCTCCACGAAGTCATCTCTAATTTCGCGTGCGTTCCACGCTCGTGCCCCTGTGTGCGTAATTTCTACACGGATAAAGTAAGCGGCAGTCGCATAAAGTTTCTGCCTCTTCTTATTAGGACATCTGCAATTTCAATGGTAAGATTTGTATGCTGATCAGGCGCGTTGGGTATATTAAGAGGCTGGTACAACGTTTTGCTTGACAGTCGTCGTGTCAACGGCGCATGAATGCCTCGTATCAGAATTTTAAATGAGGAATTCAGACGTGCAAGTTGCATAAGCGGCATTCTTATCAAAGGTGAGTTACGTGCACGAAACGATAACCGCGGAGGGCGATAGGAGCGCGCGTCCACCCGATGCTCCGCGGTGCTTTGACGTTGCAGAATTTGATCGCTGGGATCGCGAATGTTCATGCAAATACGTATTATCATAGAAAATAAATGTGGAAGCGCGACCGGACCGTATGTAGATTCAAGGATGACCGTCAATCCTTTTCAGCGACCAGCCAGGACGAACTATCCTTACGTACGGGAGACACAATTAATCGAAGCACGTCTGGGGTTTCTAGAAAACAACCCCTAAATTGGTTGAACGCAAGTACGTTCATAGTTTATGACGGAATTATACAAAATTATACACTCTGTATAATTTATTATTTAAAAAACTAGTTTGGTTAAACGAAAGAGAAATAATAGAGCTATGGTAGGAAGGAATATATTAACCGAATGAGATTACATTTTGTTATAAGAAAATAATGTTACTTTTTTGCTGTTTGAGTATCACTTGGTATGGGTTGGAGGTATAATAATGTTTGACGTTATTTACGACGTTTCCACCTGTTCTTTCGAACGTTCTTCAGCAGGAATTATAAATCTAAAACGATCTTCGCAATTTATATCTCGAATGGTATTGAATAATATCCTGAAAGCTAAGGTTGCGATTATCTAATTTATTTGAATTCTGAAGCCAGTCTAAATTATCAAGGATGTATAATTTTGATAAATGTATGACCACATAGCTATCTTGATTCATTTCAAGTAATTTTCAGATACTTTCAAGACAAAGTATCATCCTATCAGGTGTCAGACTGTTAAGTCTATTTCCTCAAAGATTTAGCATTTAATTCAGTTTTTCCACATTGCAATTGTGCTTTGGAGATTGCAAACGTTTGTGGAAGGATGTATAATTTTGATAAATTTATGACCACATAGCTATCTTGATTCATTTCAAGTAATTTTCAGATACTTTCAAGACAAAGTATCATCCTATCAGGTGTCAGACTGTTAAGTCTATTTCCTCCAAGATTTAGCATTTAATTCAGTTTTTGCACATTGCAATTGTGCTCTGGAGATCGCAAACGTTAGTTTGTAGATAAAGAAATCCACGCAGCTGCGAGGGGGGAAGGAGAGTGACGCGGAAGGAGGACGTCGATCCTCGGCAGACGTTCGGTCTTGGGGAACGGCTGGTCGTGACGAGGTCTTTGCTCGACAACCTTTGCCCACCCAGGTCGCGGCTGTGGTTTTAGGTATACACACGATGAGCTGTCGCGATACCGAACGCGTCGCTTCCACCAGGCTGTAGCTTTACAATGCTGCTAATGCATGAGTTTCTTCTTCGGGAGTGGGCAGTGGCGTAGCGAACCGCCGACGTCCGACAGTTACGATCGAATTGTAAATCCCGCGCGTCAGGGTTACGGCGGTTCGTTCGACGGGTTACGCGGAGAGCCACGGGGTTAATTGAGAGCGACTCTTTCGCCGTACTCGCGGCTCGTTTCGAGAAAATCACCGGGGTCTCGCGCGAATGCCAATTTTATACGTACGCGGAACAAGTACAGGGTGATTCTAACAACTGGGGCCTACGCTTCTGTTCCAACAAGAACAATACGAGCATTTTTTGTATGAAACCAGGCTTAAAATGTAGGCCACGATGCATTTAAATAGACTCTACAACAATAGTTAATTTATATGTACTATATTCACTTTATGTAATATGAATTTTAAATATTTATTTTATGTGATATGTAAAAATATTAATTTCAACCTCTCAGTGCTTTGAAGTGCTCGTTGAACTATATCTTTCAATACTTTGGAGTCACTGTTGCATTTTGCACATTTGTTCCACCAAGTATGCTAGCCACTGTTTGAGGTTTAGATTTTTGAAGTTTCAGTTTTAGTTTGAGCTTATTTAGGTCTGGAACGTTTTCTAAGAGACGTTGCGCGGAGGGTGAAAGGTTTCACCGGGGTCTAGGGAATAATTGGATTTGCCTTGTGATCTTCTTGTAACACGTTACATTAGGGTAATCTTGTTTTTTGAAAGTAAACTGTGCCCCAAGTTTCGGAATTTTCTATTCTATACGAGGTTTCTGAGTGTTTTGACTATTTCAATATTTGGTATCTGTCTTAAAAATGTGATATACTTCAACGCAATATTATATCAAGGATAATTAACAGAGCAACTAACACAAATAGAATCGTTTCAAAATTATTCTTCACTACTGTAACATCGATGAATCACCAATAATCTTAATAGATTATTCCTTTCGTTGACTACTATGAAGCAAATGAAAGTAATATATGGTGTCGGGAAACATGGACGCAGGATTTTTGTTTGGCATCGGAGAAAGTAAACAGACGAAGAATAAGTAATTTTGAGAGACATGGGAGCACGAAACGGATTAAAGCAGTCGCAAGCACGCGTACAAAGAGTGGTATTGTGACCAGTGGATACGCCACTGTGAAGTGGAAGCATGATTGCTGTATGTATGAAAGGGATTGAGGGGACGAGAGAGAAGGGTGTCACTGGAGCCGCGTGAGAAACGCAGGATACTTACGCGAACCACCCACGTGTCATAACTGAATGCGGATCGTGATACGCTTTTCCTGTATTCAATACTCTTTTACGATCCTTCTTCCACCGAGTAAAACGTTCTTCCTACGTCCCGGTGATCGCTAAATTGAAAGATGGAGTTAGGGTTACGTGACACCGTTCGCGTAACTTAATTTCTTCGATGATAGCGCCACTTCGCGTTATCCCGAATATTTATAACTTTCAGTGATGCCATATGCACTTATAATTAAATTGAAATTAAGAACAGCTATCATTTTTAAAAAAAATTTTGTTCGAATTTATATTTATTCTTTGAAAAATTCTTGCAGTATTTTAATGGAAAGAAACTGTCTGTGTAAACTTTAGATACTATATTTGGAAAAAGATTGGGAAATTTAGTAAAAATTGATGTATGTCAGTTTTCGTGAAACAAGGGGTTAATAAAATATATTCACACTCGTTGCTTTTATTGTTTGACCAAATAAAACTTTATCAAATTACTGTCCTCACTAATCATTTTAAAATTCATAATACAGTAATGATTCTCAAATTGATCATCGCTTCGAACCTACCACGTTCATATATCGTACAGCGAAGATGAAATTCGACACCAAGAGTCGCTCAGATTGTGAATGTAGTTTGTTCAATTTACGAATCACGTGTGATCATTTTACGAATCATCACTGTATCATTAAATCCATTTATCTAAACAGGAGCTCCAATTATTCGGAGAGATATATTTACAGGGGACGATCGATGAACCACTTTTTTCTGGGTTATATTTTCGAACCACCCCACATTTTGACAATTCGAGGATCGTTTCAGTAAAAACAGAGTATCGGTAACTGCATGACACTCTCGCTGGCGAGTCTACCGGGGGGAACGTAATTCAATTATCCGTCCCGAAGGTCAAAGCAAAACGATTCAGCGCCCTTAATGGCAGCGCATCCACGAGCGCGCATAATCGGTTCGCGAACGTGTCGACACAACGGACGACTCGTTTCACTCCGTGCATGACTCGGAGGAGAAATCGCGGCGACACACGGCTTCACGTGGGAGATCTTGTCAAGCGTCGGACTACCGTATCACGGTGACTCACGTGTATGCACGGAATGTCTCGATAATTTATCCGCGCCGCGCGTGAAACGTTTCGACGCCTGTCAGAAATAATTCGTCGTCGAAACCCCCGAGGCTCGACGAATTTTTCCGGTGCTCGAACGGCTCGATAAAATTTTTCGAATCATAGTATAATGGTATTTAACCTTATAACTCAAATAATACATACGATCTTCCAGGTCCGTTCATTTTAATCTGAGAAATGGAATAGTTTGCTGATTATACTATTATCACACGTTAATTTCATTGAGTATGTGGATGTATGGACATTCGTAGCCTTAGGTTGTTCGTTGAATAAATTATTCGAATGGTCGTGGTCCCCTCGCCAAACTCACCACCGATTCCCTCTGATTTCAGCCCCGACAGCGCAAAGAACGGATTCACCCTTCTGGTTCGAGGGGACTCCCCTGAGCGTTTGGAGTTCCTGGACAAGGTCCTGGCCCTTCTGCAGGTAAACCGTTCGCTCTCGTTGCATAATTTCGTAGCACGTTTACGTAAGAGCAATCGAAACGCGCGAAAGCGTCGATTGTGTGCCGAGTACAAAGGCGATGTTTGTCGTTGCAGGACCGAATCAACGTTACACGAGCGCTGCTCCTGCAAACCTCGGTCGTCGATGGCCCCACCGACTCCCAGTTACCTTTGAGCTGCGTCAAGGTGAGCTGTAAACAATTAAATCCTTAAACGCCGTCGAGTGCTTCGTCTCCTTCGACAGGAAACGACTATTGTCCTCTATGGAAGCTTCGAATTTCACTTAAACTGGAAATGAGAATAACTTTGTCATGTTTCATTGTCAAAATCATCGCTTGACAATAACGTACTAACATTTAAGAAATGAAATAACCGTGAAATCGGATAAAATCTAATTCGAAATAGTATTTCAAGCATCGTTGTTTCACAAAAGTGGTCCCATACACAGAACTCGTGGAGAGTTCAACGCCCGAATGGCGACGCGTTTTGTGTTCGAGTGCCGATCGCGAATAAAGGAAATCGTTCCTTTTGATACTGAAAACTGTCGACTGGATGGATTTTCTGACCCCCATAGCGCTCGAGCACCATGTTTCTTCGTCGTAAAGCGTTTTGAATTCTGTTTGCAGACGATGGTCGTCGACGAAGACGCTTTGAGCAAACACATTCCCAGGCGGGAAGAAAGCCACGAGCTGGCGCACTGGATCGCGTTCTATAAGGTAATTGAAGTTTCGGTGCGTTTGCAACGTCCTCGAGCGTTTCCTGCGTCCTTTTGATCCTACAACGCAAGCTACGCGAGCCTCATGCGCTCCACGTAAATGTAAATCTCGATTTTTTCGCGGTTCGCCATTTTTCTGGACCTTGAAAGTGGAATTCTCGTGACAGGCCTTCTCGACGACGCTTCTCGAATTCAACTTAACTTTCGAGGCTCGTCAGAAAGCAGGATATCCCATGATACTTCGAACCTTTCCTGTCTCGAGAAGCTCTTGCATAAATTGTTACTTGCGTCTATTTAATTCACTTTTCAATTTTTACGTGGAATATGGTAGAACCAGGAAAATTAATGGAGGTTGAAATAGTATGTTTAAGGTACAAATGACCTTCTCCAATTTTATTCTATTAAAGATTATCTTCAACAGTCTTTCACAGTAAAGCATAAGCTTGTATTGTGATGTTTCTATTATTGTTAGAGAATTTTTTTAACAAATTTTGTAAACACCTTGACTACCATATACGAGCGTTGGGATTTTTCACTAAATTTTAACGAGGTTGTAAGAATAAATTCAATAACAAATTGTGAATAGTTTCCAATAGTCTAAAGACAAAGTTTCGTTTTGTGGAAATTAACGTATTAAAAATGTTACCAAGATATTTCGATAAAATCCAAGGAAAGTTCGTTTTCCATTTAAAAAATATCAACGATCCCTCCAATGCCCCCTCCCCCTAGTCGTGGGTTTAAAAAATCTTGATCCTGCTGAGCCCTAACGAGCGAGCGTCGCAGTGGCAGGCAAGTCGCGTCCGAACGATCGGTCCGAATCGAAAGTCGCGACAAATTGCTTCCGAAAACGATCGCGCCTCCGGTTGTTGAAAGGACGCGGCGAGGAAGATGGGCCTGGAATCTCGCTGACCGGTTGACTGAATGTCACTGCGGTGATTCGGCAGGTTCGGTGAAAAATGAATACTACCGGTGCCAGGCCGTCGTGAAATAATTGTGTCGGCCCGCCTCTCGAAATCGAGGTGCAATTATTGTCGGGGAATTTATCCCGCGACGGTGGCACTGACCGATGTTACCAATTTGTCCGTGGTTCTCAAACCGCAGGGACCAGGTAATGGCGTTTTAATGGGTCACGTTAAAGAAAAAGCGTCACGGCGATCTTCTTCGGGCCGGTATCGCGATGGCGATTCGTCGCGCTCGTAATTTTTTCCCCGCGGGACCAAAGCGACGTTAACGCTGGCGTCGGGATCCTGCGTCGCGTTAAGGATTCTCATTCGACGGTTCGCGGAAATCGATTATTTTTCGACACTTCTTTTTTAAACCGCAACCTTCCGTATACGTGTTCGTGTTCGAGTTTTTTTTTTATTTTCACTTTGAATCGATCGTCGTGATATCCGGGATTAATTAAATCTACCGTCTCGGAATTCGACACGCGTCTGAAACAGATATTTAGTTATTATCTGTAGTGGAATCACGTCCAGAAATGTGTATAAAATAAAATGTGTACCATTGGTCAGTTTAAAAATTTTTAACACAGCTTTCTAAGAATTTAGTCACACTCAAATTGACACTACATAAGTTTTTTTGTATACACTGATTTCTATGAAACAGACATGGGATAAATCAATTCAACGACGGAGGAAAGTCGTGCAAGAAGATGGCCACTCCGTGGATGATCGATACATCTTTTCGTTATAAATGTGTACACATTTTTCTTTGTAATTATAGCAACGCGTGGGTGGTCTTCTTGGAAATATTAAATGCCAAGGCAGTCGGTGTTCTGTGAATTATGAAACTTCACTGGACAGACTGACTGGAAAGCGCGAGACGAGGTTTCACTTGAGATTCTGAGACGAAGTTTTCCCGAGCTTTTTAGTATTTTATTTGCAACACCTTCGCCGCTATCGTGAATACCAGTTTGTCAGGACTTCGGTAATTAATCATCGATCTGTTCGGATAAATGGCTTTTACGGGACTGAATATCCTCGCGTTTATTTTTTAAACAATTCCTGAGGAACACGTTGCTATCGACGAGGAGCCAGAAGAAAGAAAATAATACTCTATCAACCGATATGCAGATGATTGAGTTCTGCGGTACTATACAGTAACTTTCTCGTGCATGCGGGTAAAGATGAATAATTATACATCCGCTAAAAATTAACCAGAATTCGAAACTTGAAATTGGAGTTGAAGAAAAGATATCGAATATCTTAACATCTGAGACCAAAATATGGCACTGACTACGACTTTGATCAGGCTAGGATTTAACTCCAGCCTATTCAGTTCGTTTCACCTCTTCTTTCGTCTTAATTCCAATTCTATTAGGTTGTGACCTTGTACATTTATAATTTAATTATTTCAAAAATCTGTTTGCTTGCGATTTACACATAACTTTTATCATTTTTGTTCGATCCAGATGAAATTTAATTTATTAAATTTTCGTTGACTATAAAACCCTAATCAGAGAAAAAATTAATAATGTAATTTCGTTTCGACTTCTCTAAAATAAATATCATTGTATGTAGAAATTGAAAAAAGGCCCAATTTATCTAGGAAAATGCTTCGATGCACAGTATATTAATTCACTGATGGACCCTTCGATTGCTTAAGCTCATCCCGGGGGTGGAATCAGAGTGAAAAATGAAAGAAGATTGAAAAAGTTTGTCCAATTCCCACGTAACCATTGTAAACTGGAAACGGTTCGAACGACGAACGTTATCGATTCATTGAACAGGCGCGTTGGCGATAAGCAAAGGTGATCGAAGGCAAGGTGACTCGGCAACAGTTATTCACGGCCTTGCCGATAGTCGATCGGAAAGCGTTACAAGGAGAAAATTGTACTGTTCGACGTTGGAAAATGTTTATAAATAACGGTAGGTCGCGATGTTCGGCGAGATAGGCATTAACAACAGTGCGTCGCTGTTGCATCGGCGCGCATGAAATTCTTGGGCAGAAAGTAAGGACTCCTGCGGACGCCACTCGGCTACCTCTTTCCCGAAGTATCTCGAGAACGACGATTTACTATGCGTGTTCGAATAGCGCGCATTTATCTCGACGCGTATCGTACGGGACTGAGTTCGACAATTTCAAACTTTCTCGGCTGGCAAATTGTTTGGCGGAGTAGTCGTTATTTGAGACGTCATTAGGGGAAGCAAACAAGCGCTATATCCTCGAAAGAGGATTACCAAGTGTGTTAATCTCTCGTCAGAGCCACGGGGTCGATCGTCTGTGCGTAACGGTGCCCCCCCCTGGAAATTGCTAACCCACTTAATGATAGACAGAACTTAATTTTTATTCAACATTATAGTTGCTAATATTTAATTTTACGAGTGGAGGATTTGGAAATAATTTAATAATTGTTACACTAGATATAATAAAGAAACAAATGTGTGTCTTCCATTTTATACACAGGGTAAATCGTCTAACTTTTAAAAACTAAAAATCCCAAGTAGATTTTATTTAAGTTCTTAATTAAACAAAAATCTCCAATGCACCAAAATTGATAGTTATCATTCCATAATATAATCGATTGAGCGCCCAGGCACAAAGTTGAGTATTTACACCTATAAAAGAGTCAGCAATGTTCCTTGAAAAGAAAAATCGATCGAACAAGAGGAGGGTGGCTTCTGCAAGGGGATAACAAATGGTTCGAAAGGTTAATTTTTCATCCCCCCCAGGGGCGGTTTAATTGACTTTTCTAATTGCCCCCGACGATACATCATCGGGTCGCTTCTTTGAAGATCGCTTACCGGGACACCTGAACTTCGATCGAAGTCTAGAGAGGCGTGTTCCTCGAAGAATTATGAACGATCGACGCTCGTTGGCTGGAGTTTGAGCTATCGCGACTGTCGAACCACTTTACGACAGCGATATCGAAGAAGTCAGCTAACAGCCAGCCCGCGGGCGTTGATTGATCGGGAGATCAATCAATCTGTTGGATGATTCCGCGAAATTGAGACGTCAACAGATATCCAATCGGCGTTGTAGATTCTTCTGCGCGCGTTCTCGCTTGTCTTATCTACGATTAAACCGTTCGAAAGGAGTCTACGATGTCCGAACGTCTATCGTTTCATTGGAACGGACGAACAACGACGATTGTTTCGACGAAAATGTTTTTAGTCATTATTGATTCGCATGGTTGGTGATCCGCATTAATACGGAGCAAGTCATCGTGAAGGCAGAGAATATATTTTCCGAAAACGTGTGCTGTTGGAAAGGTAGAATTGAAGATTATAATTTTTGTGAATTAAAATTAATTATCCTCCACTGTCGACGTCAATTAATCAGAGTAAAGATAGTCCTGCATTCCCCGGCAAAGTGACTCCATGCGATTGGAATTTTCGACCGATTAAGAATGCATCATAATAAGCAAATCCAACGGACTGACAGCTAGGTGTGTCGATCCTGCATTCTGCGTACGTGTGTCAACGACGTACACTGCAGCTCAAAAGTCTGTGCCAACATTTTATTTATTTCTACCAGAAAACAGTTGACTCCTTAGCGGAGAAGTCTAGAAAATAGTGAATTTCCCTGGTTCAGCCAAATTTTTATTAAATTGAGAGTAGATAGGCATATTTCAAAAATTTTTATCACTCTTAATGTTCAGTTCGACATGAAGGGTTCCAAATTTGCGATGTATAATCCAGATTCACACACTGTGTATATTTGTAAATTTATTTGAAATTCGAAATTTCCATTGGATTTAATTTCAGCGTTTATAAAATGGTGCAAATTGCCCCAAACCATCTTGCGTCTATCTGACAGTTTTTTCCCCCGCAGGAGTACGACGGTCTCATGACGGAATGGCAGGCAGCCGGACGCAGACTGGCTTTGGAGATGTCGGAGTTGAAGGAATGCAGCAGCCTGTCCAGCACATTGACGCCTCTCGGTCGGCTCCTCACGGACCCCACATTGAGACGGACGTCCAGAGACGCCGAGGAAGCGGTCGCCATTTTGGAGGAACGAGCCTCCTCGCTCTTACACCTCGAGCACGTTAGGTTAGACAGTACAAGCTTCAAACTATTTCGTCAGAAAAAATGATTTCCTTTCGTTAGAATAGGGGTCAGCTTTCGTGAGGCAAAATTGTTCTATCCATATTCTACTGACAGTAATGACTCTTAAACACTCTGAAGACTTAAGACGCATTTCTCTACTGTCTCGCGTTTGCATCGATTCGTCTCAACTGAACTGTTTTACTTAATGTTGATTTTTACCAAATTGGTAAGTGAAATTGTTAGTTCACATGCCTCAATATTACAGAAGACTTTCGATACACTCACCATGTGATAATTTAACACACTTCCATCTCTATTTTTTCAAGGATCTGTGGATTTCTATGCCACCTTCCTCCCCCACTGGGCCATGGCTCTATTTCTTAAATATCACAAATAAGATATATCACGAAAACTATTATACAGTGTGTTTCATAGCACTTGATGCTTCTCTACAAAGATCCCAAATTGCCCATAACTTAAAAAAGTGAAATACCACGCGCGTACGAGGTTTCCCTTTGTTTTCCCGCCCCTCGTCTGCCACCGAGGCGAGCATCCACACGTTATGAAACGGCCTGTAGGTGTGTGCGTGTAGTGTGTAACTTACCGTCGAATATACGTGCATGCATACGTATTCCCCGGGGTACATTCTCGCGGCGCACGGCTAGGCTAAGGACAGTTTAATGCGAAGATAACGTCCGCGGCGTGTTAGTCAGCGCCCACTCGTGCCTTATGCTCCGAGGACTCTCGCGAGTTAGGGTTCGATGTTTCGTTAGCGATAAGGGGCTACAAGAATTCCTAACGGTCCGCCGCGATCACGGTTCCTTTTTATCTTTCCAGATTGTCGGTGAAACGGGCACGGAGATTGGTGGAGGAGGTCGGGAACGCCGCCACCAGGCTGGAATCGTCGTTCGAGTCCCGACGGGCGACCATTCGCAATCTCGCGGTTCTAAGGAGTATCGAGGACCAGGCGCACGAGGTGAGTTACCCGCGATACGCGGCCAACATTCCACGAATTCGACCCGCTCCTAAAGGGATGTCCTGATCTGGACTTGGAAAGAAAGAAACGTTGTCGCAGAATTTTACCATTACGGGCCACCGCCGCGTTAACGCGTCTCACCGATACGGTGTCTCTCGATTACACACGCGTTTACTTAGCTTGTCTCTTAAGAGGGTTTCCAGACGTTCCTGCTGCGAGCAGAAATATTCTAAAATTTGAAAAGTTACTTATTTATCTAATGAACGCGTCGTTTGAGTAACAGGACATTTCGATAGCAGAGTGTTCAAATATGTTCTAATTCTGAAGAATGTTCTCCATCTCGGAGTCTCGAAGACCGAAATTCGTTTCTGCACCACGATAAATGTGAATGAAAACATGTCGTTGGCTTTATTGCACGGACATTCGACACCAGATCGCGTTACCGGATCTTCGATCCTCAGCGTCTCTTCGTCTTTTGCTCTCTCTCTTTCTACGTACGCGGCGAAACACAAAAGACGTCGTCCCCTCTCGCTAAATGTGCATTTAACGAGGGAACACTGTAGCGACGATCAACCACCGATTAGAAATACCAGTCGTTGGTGTCGTTTTCTGTACCTTTCTGGCACGTTGGTGTCGCAATTGCCCTCGAACAGGATAGACAAAGGGCTCTTTATTCCCGGTCGAACTTTCACTTCGAAAATCGCACGGCTGGTCGGTTCGCGATCATCGGACCAGTCTCACTGGCGATGTTCGCCTCGACGAGGGAAGCCAGATCGATCGAGACGCGTCTCGTTTGTTCCCCCGGATCACGGATCACGGATCCCAAGCTTTTCCACGGGCAGAGCCACGGAGGTAGCGGCCTCCGTTAACCTCGTTTCTGGCATCCTCGACGACCTCGAGCCGATGTTCGGCCTCCTTTGCGGGGAGTCATCGAGCATGTCGTCGCACGCTCCGGGTCCCCTGCTTCCTTCCATCGCGGACCAAACGGCCGGCTGGGATACCGAGGCGAATACACGCGCTAATGCTCTCCAGCCGTATTAGGGGTATGGAAATCACGAGCGCGATTAGCCGTGCCTGCGTCCACCATCCCGGTTATCGTCGTTGTGTTCCCATAATGGCCTTCGAGGGGGATACTTTGCGCATGGTCGAGCGCAAAACTGGCTACGCATCGTCGGTGTTCGCCGAATTCTCAATAACAAAGCCCCCAGAAATGATTTTCTTCGATCGATAATTCGTAGAACCAGAAAAGATCCTCTTTCAATAGCTTATTTTGCATTTTTTCATTTTTGAATTTATAACGAATCGGTAAACTTGGCATATTCGATGGAAATGGATCTATGAGTATGCATGCTTGGTGCAATTATTCATTCAGCCCTTAAACCTTCCGTAAACCTTTAGAAATCTAACATATACAGTAATGATTCTTAAAATGAACGTTACTCCAGAGTTGACATATTCATTTTTCGTACAGCGGAGATGAAATTCGACACCAACATTCACGCTTCGCTGGCTCCACGGGGGATCCCCCTAGAATCAATTTACGAATCACATCTGTTCATTTTAAGAATCATACTTTGAACAATTTTCAGACAATTACGAACAGTTTCCTGAGAATCGTCAATCATAGTCATGATTCGATTAAAACAAATTCGAAAATATGACCTATTTTTTCGGTCAGCAAGATAGAAAGTCCGTTCGATCGATAAAGGAACGTATCCTGGCGTCGATAAACGGATCGTACGAGTGGTGGAGCGTTGTGGGAAACGGTCCTGGCGGAGGATCGCGGAAGAAGGATCGGGTTTCGCAATTCCGCGCGAAAGAGTCTCCCTGACAGACAGGATGGCTACGAAAGGACGGGAACAGGTCCACCGATGAAAAAAGCCTTAATGCTCGCGTGGACGTCGCGTGAATTCTCGATAAATTGACGGGCGAAACGTGAACGATCTTCCGGTAACGTCGCGGCGCGCGGAAAGATCGACGCCCCGGGGCTGCGAATCGACGAAACCGAGGGAAGAGGTATTCCCTGGAGTTTGTTGCAATTTTCACGATTTTTAGTCAGGTTTAGAGGAATTTAGAGGAATATTATTTTGTTTAATGTCTGATAGAACAGCGGAAACTTCTGCAAGTAGATTTCTTTTACTTATAAATCATGGAAGAAGTGTTCTTTAACTTCTCCGTGACCATTCCATCAGTGTGCTTGTTTTTAAATTTGTACAAAGTATGACTTACTTCTTTGGTAGCAAAGACATAAGCTATTGCTCTACTTATATGTATTAATACATGCTACGTGGTATTACTATTTATTATAAAACAGGACACGTAAAGTCGTGTTTATTCATTTTTAACTACTCATACGCGTTTGCAATCGATAAGTTACGCAATCTGCAGGATAAACCGTGTTACGCCTCGTCTTGCAGCGAGAAAATACTACCCGAATTTGTTTTACAGTTTACAATATAACTCAGACCCGGTCCATATCGCGAGAACTTCAGATTTTTAATGCTGCGTGTCCCAGCGCCATTCCAGGCTCGAAAAAACGTTATCTCTGCTAATTAGTCACGATAGAAAACCTGAAATTTTCACATTTACAAGGAAATAAATCGTAAATCGTGTAGGGAAAAGTTCAAATCGATAACGCGGCTTGTTCTCGTACGATAAAACCGCGAACGCGATATTAATAGAAACGTCGTTCTGGTGATTTCAATGCGTGGTAATAGCGGTGTCACTCAAAATGTCAGAGACAGCGAGAATTTGATAAACCAATTTTACTCGTCGTAAAGGTTGCTTGCGTTTGCTACAAATTAATAAAGATAGTAAAATAAAAGTAATATTTATACTTTCTGAAATATAAAAATACGAACATTATTTCAATGAAACGTTCCAGTCCAGTTCCAGTTCCAATAAGTAAGAAAATATTAATACAAAAACTATCTCTTTCCGCAAAATGAACACATCAAACAAAACTCAACAACTATATACAAGAATAATGTTACTTGTTTCAAAACAAGCATGCTGTTATCGTAAATAATCTGTGTCGAGGACTAATTGCACGAAGTGTAGCAGTTATTGAGATATCAATCCGAGTCTAATCACTGGGCAATAAACTCAGAAAATGATAGGAGTCTTCTCGCGCAAACCATTAAACTCCACGCACTGCGAGGCAAACGGCTAATAATTGCAAACGATTCGTTAAAGGTGCACGAATTAACGTTGCTGGAAAGAGCAGCGTTAACGGGAGATGATTTACATATTCGAAAATACAGGAAACATTATGTAAACTACTAGCTGAATAAGGAAATTAATTGCGGAAAGCGTTCCGCTCGGAGTCGTTTCGTCTCTTTGTTTTTAACAATAACCAAGCTGGGAGACTGTCCCGGCGGCGGTTAACGGCCGAGCAGATACGTATTATTTGCGACGGCTCATTGTATTATGCTAATTAAACGTGTAATCACTTTGTCGTACATAGCACGTGCACGTAGACGGACATGTGGGCTCGACACGATCCGCACGTACGCGCGACACACGTGACAACTCCGTTTCAGGCGGAAACACGTGAAGGTACGTGATGTAATCGTGTCGCTGCTACGAAACACGTCGTATGATCCTGCCACGTCGGAAGCTGGAATCCCCCGGAGTCACGTGCCGTGGAGTTAATCGCGATCGTAGACTTCGTTTATCCGAATTTTAAACCGTTTCACCTTCCATTCGATGTCTAAAAGAATTTTAACTGGTGCAAATTGTATCGTGTTCGAGCTTTTTTTTTACTGGGAAGCTTTTCTGCCAAAAAGATGACCTAACGTAGACACGACTCTGTCCTGAATTAATCATGTTAATTCATTAATGTATTTCATGCAAAAAATGTGGGGAAAATTAATGGTATAGTAGTTTTGCAAAAATAGTGGTTTCTTTCGTTCTAATAAAAATTTGAATATACACTTATAACCTGTAAGTAGAAGAGAATTATATTAGCAAGTGTCATTGTATATTTTCGTTTGTTAATAGTGGCAAGTGAAAATGGGGAGTTTGCATGTGGAAACTATGTGGGTAAAGTTGGCAATGGCGCGTGGAATCGTTGGGACAGAAAGGGTCAAGGGAAACCTGGCGCGTAATTGAATTCTGTCGCGTTGTGTTCGTGGCCGTTCGTTCGTAAAGATTCTTTATTCCGTCGAGATGAAGCTAAGGTACGTGGGACGAAAAGATACACGTGGGTCATTGCCGAAGTCTCGTCGAATGATTCACACGTTTGTAATTTGAGCAAGTGTCAGTTTATATTGGACGTATTAAGAAAGTTTCTGTCCCTCTAATGACAGCACGGGCTACCCACGTGAGCGGTTCTGTCTAAAGTTTCCCATCACTTTCTTACAACTTTCTTCGAGACGGTCAGTTGCTTAGTTTACTTAAGGAGGTCAACGACGCTGGTAACCGAAATTTTGCGAAAATATGACTCGTCTAATTCCTCCAACAAAGCGACCATCGTTCAACAAAAAACCTTACTTCGAATCCAACGATAGAATTCTAGCAGTAAAGTTCCATATAAAAGAAGAACCAAGGAACTAAAGCAAAATAATTAAAATAATATATTATTATTTGCTCTCTGAAAAGACAATAGTGCAAAAAAATAAATAATTACGTGAAGACTACTTTTCACTTACACTCGCAAGTTTTACAACCAATTATGCAAATATAGCTGACTCTGAATTAATGAATTTAATTAAATTCTTTTAAAATATTATTCGATCGATGAGTTTTTATTTGCTCTTCCCTTGGTATTTAATTATATAATTGAAACTTATTTTTATTCGAGGAGCCGGGAATAAAGAATTGTTTACTTTTTTTGTTTGCGATTCTAATATTTAACCCGTCTATTGCCAGCGACAACGTTTCTCGACGGTCTCTTCTGGCGGTCGATTCCTTTCTTGCGGCGGGTCGTTAAGTCTGCAAATGGTTGTTCGGCTTCCTATACGCACAAAGCGTTCCTCGATAATTAGATACGAGATGTG